GTCAGTACCACACTGAATGTGTCAACGTTCCGGTCTGAGCTCGAATCTCTTGCAAATTGAGGCCTTATGGACGAGTTATAACAGATGACATTGGAATAAAAGAAAATGATTTTTACACAGCACATAGGAGGTCCGGTACTCAAACTGAGGAACGACATAGATACGTACATGAATTCACCTGGGCTGACGATATATTATTCCGATATGGGATGAAAATACTCAAAACGTGATTAACCACGGGTACAGCCAGAAAGTCAGTCAGTCAGTCAATCAGCTTTCTTCTTTCATTCACTCATTCAGTCAGTTAGTCGGTTCCCTTTTTCTGAGATTCATCGGACAAGTGGATTACCGATAAACCGTGAATATGGGGACTTAAAACAATGACTTGCGATTGATGCCCATAGCGACACACACATGATCAGCTCAATTTTCAGTGTCCGAACCAGACACTCGATGACCCGGTCACGTTTAGCAAACAAAAATACATATGGATAACTTCACATCGCCGTGAGAGATGGCTTTGGCCTAACAGATCATGGTGAGTGAAATCAACCACAAAGGTTACGAACATGTCTTGTGGTGAGGGAATGCGACAAGTCACCGGTAGAGTTCAATTCCAAAAACCAATGCCTGTTTTCGTTTGCATCAGCAGCTTCAATCGACGAAATGCGATTAAGTTTGAGTAGACAACTGTCGGATTGCAAATACTAAATTTCGTGTGATAAATTGAGTGTTTACTCATAGTTGAATAAAGATTGTCATAGGTGTACATTGTTCAAATTACTCTTCCTCTAAATTGCAATCAGCAGGATAATTTTCATATTGCTTTTATCGAAGGAACTGCGGTGGGATGGACAATATGACGATCGTGGTGATCAAGACTCGAATAAATGGCTCCGGGGATAACGATAATGATGATGATGATGATGATGGTGATGATGATGATGATGATGATGATGATGATGAGCATTATATTGCTATTGACGATGTGTCGGATATCAAGTATGATTACTCGGTAATAATCAAGGGTCACGTTTCGGAGTTACGTCGCTTTCCTGTCGTATTCTGTATTCCACCGCATTTCGGCCTTTTGTGGTTCTCTATTTCACTTTTTACTACCGTATACAAAAAAAAATGGTTTTGTCTTATCTAACCTTTTCATCAATAAGCGACGCGCAACGGAAGCATATAATGTTACAATACCTCTGTACGCACTTATTTGTTTGTGTTTTCAATCGATAATGTATCATGTACACAGTTTCTGAAAATCGGGTGCAGATGACATTGTGGGATTGGGTAACCGGGTCTACTAGTCGGAGTATGGATAACACATACACTGCTCGATTAACTGCAAAACCGAAACTTATTAAACTTCAAACTTTCAGTTAGTATACATACTCCCGGATTGGGTAGCTTATCTTATTTGTTTCCAGGAAAGGACATTATGAAGAACGCCGGACACTTGAGTTCCGCGACGCGCACTATTTTTCATCGAGACCACCCGTAACGTTTTCATCACGATTCAGCTCCGGTTTATCTGTGACTCCCGGGGGTAATCAATCCCGTTTTATTCTAACTGCCTTTTATTGCAGCACAGAGCTTGTTGTTGTTTTTCGGTCCTCAGAGGTGGTCGGGAACAAAGTCGAGATGCAATTTCTGTTCATTCCTCAATTTTGATCCCGTTTCTTGGAAATTTTGTTCCGAATTTGGAGGGACGATTGGGAGATGTTTTCGTCAATGAATACTTACCTCGTACCTCGTAAAACAACGAGGTTTGTCACATGTTAGATCGCCATGATGTGATTAATTTTCTAGTTGGAAACAATCGCATTTGAAAGTCTCTCCTCTTACCAACTGTGCAGTTTCCGGAATTTATTGAG